ATTTTTGTTTGTTATCTAATAATAAATAAATGACTCTATTTTACAATATATGATCAGTAATTATAACATACAATGGAAGCAAATAATGCTATTGTAATAGAGATTATGTGGCAAATCAGTCATCGAAATGAAACAAAATTCTCAATTCATTTGTATGTCTTTTCCATATATTCTTTACATTTAAAATATTCCTTTTGATTCACACTTTAATTATTTTTTATAATAAGATTTGTTAGTTTGAGAATTGATTAACACATGAAAATTATACTAAAAGTCTAGACATAAAGGTATAAAGGCTTACAATTATATCTGTATATTGAGTTTTTTAATAGACTAGAAGTCAAATGTCAAATATTTGTATACTATTTAGACAAAAATTTAGCAATTTGTATGAGTAGTTATAATGACAATGAATTTTACACGCTATTCAATGTATTGACAGTTAACCAGTTGTTCATACATTCAATTGTATATCAGTTTCTTAAAAGACTTTTCGGTTCTTAAAGTAATGTTTTGATAACATTATGTTAATAATAAATAAACAATATTTAAATTAAAACTAAAAACAAAATTGAGTATTATTCTTTAATGGGAACGCCTAGACTAGTAAAAAGTTTTAAATTAAAAACTAAAAACATAAATCATTTATTACACTATTAATTTAAAATAACTAAAATATCCAAAAGTTATTATGAAATGTGAGAATACAATAATAAATGATTAATCGACAAAATCTATTAAATACAAATATAATTCAAACTTGTATTCTATGCCTCAAAGAATGTGTTTACGAGTAGTCGTAAGGATTAGTCGCGTTATAAATGGTATTCATTAATAATAACTATAAATATATAAATAATAATAGGAAAAGTGAAAAGCGAGTGAAATGGGTGTTCAATAGTTGTGAACATCCAAAGTGCCGAAACTTTCTAAGTCGAGGGCCGCCGCCTCGAGCGCCGCCTTACACTCGGCCCACGGCTGCAGAGGGTTTGTGTGCTCAAAGTTGCCCGAACTCGGACTGGAAGGTTGGGTCGACGTCTGGGAACTGGAACTCATTTGCTGACTATTTACACAACTGGCCGATTGCTTGCTCACCACAGGCGACGGTCTGGTACTGATGGGCGCCGATGTGGTCGTAATGTAGGCAATGGGTGGCGAAGGACTCACTATTGGCTCACACGTGCCGTACTCTGTCTTGATGTGTCTGATCAGTAGGTCTGTGCTGTCAGTGTTGGCAACTGTCGAGTAGGTCTGCCAATGGCTCCAATCGCCTGCGTTGACGACCGTTGGGTTCACACAAGTGACCACATTATGTGTGGCAGATATCACATCCGAGCCCATCGTAGGCCTCAGCGCCAGACAATTCATATGACGCGACACTCCGTTGTGAAAGAGTTGCGACTCCTCGAGAGTGGCGGTGGCCGGGGATGCGTTGGCCACCAAATGCAGCGAATGGGGCTCTACTGCCGTCAATTGAGCGGTGGTTGTGGTGCTGTCGCTAACCGTCAGACCCGAGTCGGTCGCGTGAATCACAGGACTGGTTGTGTAGTGACTCAGTTCGTTGAGGTCGGCGTCCGTGAGGATGGCGTTCCAACAAATGTCGTTCCCATCCGTCTCTATCATACAGGTATCGGACGCCGATTCTGTGATACAGATCTCGTTGCCATAGCCCGGGTGAGAGAGGTGTCCATCTGTCTGTGAGCCATGCATTGTGTATGAATAGGAGTCGCACTGACCCCCTGGCAAAGCCTCTATACTACTGACTGCCGTCACCAACTCTACCACATCATTGGCCGCCTATTATCACACGAATAGAGTTCCCATTAAATGGCATTCATTAAAGAGTAATCACTATATTCTCTATACCTCTCCGTATAAACTATAGGATTCTGTAGAGTTGGGTGGAGTGTCGTGTATGAGAGGCACTTCTGTGCCGTTCCCTATAATCCCCTTCACTTCATTCAATTGTCTCGTTTGGCATTCGTTTCTTAAACTTTCCTTTTTTCTCGACTAAACCATC